TTTTGCATGTTTAAAAGAACCCTATGAGTCACTATTTGACGCTTTGGTCTGGGAGCTGATTGACTTTTGGAAAAAATGCTGATCTAAAGATGTGACAGGGGCCACAAATGCATCAATTTGAAAACTAGTGAATAGAGCCACAAACTAGTTAAATAGATTATATATATATATATATATATATATATATATATATATATATATATATATATATATATATATATATATATATATATATACACATATATATATACACAGTATATGTGGTTTGACAGTTAGGTAACTTTAATGTTTATTAATAATTTTGTTTTTTTGATGAATTGTTTAATTTGTATTATAGAATGAGAAACCACATTGTAGAAAGCCAAAGAGAATGGAAAGAGTAATCTATTGACTCATTAAAAAAAGAAAATGTCTTGATTTTTGAATGTGTTCCAATAAATGATAATATGAGTTCTTGGGTCTTGTCACTAAAGGGAAATAACCAATAGGCAGTGTTAGGGAGAATACTTCACAAACGTATTTAGTTACAGAATACTTGAAAACCTGCATTAAAAGGTATGTTGTAACATATTACATGAGCCAAATGATTTATTTTTGTATGTAAATAGTTTTGTTTTGGCGAACTTGTAGTGACTTCCTGGCTAACCAGAAGAAGCATAACGGTCAACGTTTATTCCACCTCGCAAACATGGTTCAGCTCCAGTTTTAGACCACATTGATGTGTTTGAGCCAGAACAGCCTATAAGTTTGTTTTGTTTGCGTGTTAGCACTTGAGTAGGTTTGCATGTTATATGTTATATTATAGTTTGTTTATTCCCGGGTTGTGTTTATTATGGGGCCGAATGCTAGCGCCGCTAATGTGCGACCTCTAGCTTTAGCGTTGGCCTTGTATTTGTTCACCGGCACCTCGACAGTGTTGTGTGTTTGTATTGTGTTGTTTGAATGCACAACTTTTATTTGTTGCAGTTTTACCAATCTCACAATGAATAAAGCCTGGAAAAGGAGACACCAGTGTAGTCATCTGCCTGCCTAGATCCAATTTATTGAGGACAGAATATTACATAATGTTAGAAATTAACTGCTAGTTAAATTCAGAGTACAAATCCATTATTTTTTCGGATGTCAGTTTAAATGTAATATTATGGCTCAATAAATATTAATATGGTTAAATCAACATTAGCTACTGATCAGCCCAAATAAAAGTAGTTTGGCCGAGATCTCTGTAGAAAACAATGGGACAGTTGGGTTTGTGTCAGCTCAGCAGAATGTCGCAGAGACAGAGCAATCAAAGTCACTTTCCTCTTTCAAACTCAGAGATCAGATTTCCGCTCGACTCTGTGCCCTTCGGTGTGACTTTAATTATCGTCTCACTCCGAGATATTGTGGGCTCACGCTGTGACTTTAACAAAGCAGATAACACTTTTATCAGGCAACGGCTGAAGAAGTGGAGTCTACTTTATTGTCAAGTTTTTACAGGTTTGAACTCTACTGATAATGGAGACATTTTTCAGAGTGATAACACAATTTAGAGTAAATACGATACACTGACTTTTTTCAAAACTCAACCAATGTACAAATATTTTTTTTTCTTATCTTTTGAGTACAGGTATTTTGAGCAATACATTTTCCTATTTAGATTTTGCAAGATGGCAGTGCAAAGTGTCCATATGGTTGTGTTACATCAGGAACCTATGGCACGGGAGCCAGATGTGGCTCTTTTAATGATTGTGTCTGGCTCTCAGACAAATCTTACAAGGATATTAATAGTCCATCCATCCATCCATTTTCTTCCCCTTAATCCATTTCTGGGTCGGGGGGGGGCAGAGATGCCACCCAGCACACAGAGCACCAGCCCCTCACTGATCCTCCTGCAGGTGGTGAGTCTACAGGAGCTGAGATCTTTCAGTGGGAGCTTCAGGCAAAGTGGGGTTAAGTGTCTTGCCCAAGGACACAACGACAGCAGTCATCAGTGGGAGTCGTGAAGTAGGTCTTACGGTGGGTATTTAATGTATTGGATTTCTTCAGTATAAAAAAATTATTAAATAAAATAATACATACCAAGACTAATATCACTCTCTAGGGCAAACATTTCAACGTCATATCTAAAAATTGCCATCATGTCATTGGCTCATCCTTCTCTTGCTAATCTGTCTTGCACTTGACACCCAACTGCTTTTCCGTGCCGGTCTAATAAGTGCATCTATCAAAAGCCTATTTTACAGTCTGTGTCAGTGTGTGGGCGTCTATGTCAAGCTCTCGTAGTGATAAAAGTCATCAGTTCAGTCATGATCGTGTGCCCTTCAATCCCCCCCTCTCTTTCCACCTCCAGAACTGGCTCCAGTCCAGAAACAAGGTTATGATAGCGAAGAGCCTCTCACCGCTCACGCAGACAGATACGAGCTGAGGACACGTTTTAACTCCATCTGCTTCAATATGACAACATACTACAAGGTCAATGAGGCTATGTGAACATCTGTCATTGAAGCAAGTGAACAATGACAAACATGTACCTTAAAGCAATTGAGAGCAAATGAGATGGAATGAATTACAACTGTACAAGCTCTGATGGCAATAAACGGCAATGTAGTGATGCCAATTATCTTCATTCTTTCATTTGTCCTAACCAAGCAATCTGGAAAAGTACGCACTCAACATAAAATAGTGATTTGCTTTCCGGACGCTGAATACATTTCTTCCGCTTTATCCATTGGCAGGTTGCAAGTCTAAGCAGAAAGCCCTGTCCACACCATGGATCTATAATAAAAACTGGATAGAATATTACTAGGTCTTTCCTTCCTGCTGCTGTCAGACTGTACAACAAACAATGAGGACTAATGAACACTGCCAACCTGATCTCACATGTCATGCGTCGGTGCAATGTCCTTAACTAATATCAGAATGTGCAATATCTGGGCGGCACGGTGGCTGAGTGTATAGCACTCTCGCCTCTCAGCAAGAAGGTCCTGGGTTCGAATCCTTCTCGAACAGGGCCTTTCTGAGTGGAGTTTGCATGTTCTCCCCGTGTCTGTGTAGGTTACCTCCAGGTACTCTGGTTTCCCCTACCACTAAAAACATGTACAATAGGTCAGGCATGCGCCTCCTGTACTGGCGACCTTGCTCCTTTATCTGTTTGGAGTGAGAGACAAATGCCCAAAAAATAACAAGTGTGAACCGCTTTGTGACTCTGGGCTGTGAAAGGCGGTATATAAATAAAGATTACTTACTTACAATATAGAACCACATGTGTCACTATCACTTTACTGCGCCCCAGAGCCCCATGCTGCTAATTCACAGATACTAACATACTGCTGCTGACATACTGTACAGATACACACTAGGATACACAGCACTTTATACTTGCCTCTTATTTTGCCAAATGTAAAATGTGTATACTTCTTTATCATGTACAAGATATAAATGTTATACTTATTTCTTTGATGCTAGAGATTTTGTTTTATTTTAATTAGTATAGTCATTGTTTAGTTATCTTGTGCTGTGTGCTACTGTTCTATCTTGTGATGCAACACTGAAATGTCCCACTGTGGGACGAATAAAGGATCTCTTAATATCTTGTAGCTGAAATAGCTCAGTTGGTAGAGCATTGACCCCCCCCAGAAGGTCGTGGGTTCGAGCCCACCTCAAGATTTTCTTCACGGACTCCCACTGATGTCTGCTGTCGTTGTGTCCTTGGCAAGACACTTAAAGGAATAGTTCACCGTTTTTACATACTGACATATGTTCTTACCTTACCTTAGACTAGTTAATATGTACCTGTCTGGTCTTAGTCCGTGCGCTCTGTCATGCAAACGGAGCAAAAACGGGAGCACAAACGCAGCCTCCTCTGTATACTGTGTAGGACCAAAGGGTAGCTCCCGCTAGAAGCTACCAAACTCTTCCAAGTGTTCCCTATTAAATGTATATAGTTACGTGACGTGTTACACTGCAAAGTATAGTAACACAGAAATGTAACTGTCGATTTTCTCAGCGGATAAAACGGGTACTATATTGTGAGGCGTAGTAATCTGAGGAGCGCTACGTCCGCGCACTAACTTCTCTCCGTACTACAAGTCACGCTGCTTCTATTGACGGAAGTGAGCGAGAGAGAAGTCTCCGGAGAGAAGTTAGTGCGCGGACGTAGCGCTCTTCAGATTACTACGCCTCACAATATAGTACACGTTTTATCCGCTGAGAAAATCGACTGTTACATTTCTGTGTTACTATACTTTGCAGTGTAACACGTCACGTAACTATATACATTAAATAGGGAACACTTGGAAGAGTTTGGTAGCTTCTAGCGGGAGCTACCTTTTGGGTCCTACACAGTATACAGAGGAGGCTGCGTTTGTGCTCCCGTTTTTGCTCCGTTTGCATGACAGAGCGCATGGACTAAGACCAGACAGGTACATATTAACTAGTCTAAGGTAAGGTAAGAACATATGTCAGTATGTAAAAACGGTGAACTATTCCTTTAACCTCTGAGAACACCACGTACCACAGTGGGGCGGCTGTAAAGTGTCAAACTGCTGTTGTGTCCTTAGGCAAGACACTTGGTGGTGGTTGGAGGGGCCGATGGCACATATTGGTTGCCTCCCTTTTGTCAGTGTGCCCCAGGGCAGCTGTGGCTACAGTAGAAGTTTATCACTACCGTGTATGGAGTGAATGAAGAATGGCATGTGAAGCGTCTTTGAGTGTCCAAAAGAGCGCTATATAAAACCGATGCATTATTATTATTAAGATTAAATTATTTACTTCTACTACTATTATTATTTTCACTACTTTCCCCATAGAACTCAATGTAAACTAAAACAGTTGGACCTCAGCTGAAAGAGAGCCTTTAGCTTTCAGAGGTCGGATCATAGATGGAAATATTTATAACGTTTATACAGTATTTATTTGGCCAAATTATTGTTTCTACTCATCAAACTCTCATCGAAATAATACAGACAGCAAGAGAATAATGAATATTTACTCTCAGTTCCACACCCTGAACAGCTGCTTACCTTTGGGTTGTTTTTGGCCTTGGTCGCACTGCTGCTGCTGCTGCTGTTGTTGTTGTTGTGGCTGGGAATGGCGTCTTCGTGAACACTGTCCAGCAGCCAGAGCAGGAACTCCAGTGCATCGTGCTGAGAATTCCCTCGGAACTGTGAGCCATGCTTGGCCACAATGCTCTGGCAGAACAGGAGAGAGGGAAAATATTAGGACATTTGTCTAAACTGTCAGTCATGCAATTTGATTATGGCAAGTTTAAGTTGTGCGATATTTCAGGCGTAAAGAGATCGAATCCAGTGACACTTTATGCAGTTTCTGAAGTCAAAATTCAATGTATGTTCATCTAAGGCATTCCGAAGGAAAAAAGAAAAAAGCCACTCACAAAATAAAAGTATGAAAGCTTGCCATTGTGAAAATTACACACATTATTCGTACATATATATCATGATGTGGATGATTGAGTGGTTGAGAGATTCTTTTTTGCATACCACCTCTAGTTAGAATCAGTCACATTTTCACTCAATGACACGTTACAGAGAAATGTTTTAATCCACTTAAGCAAAAAGCAACACTATTAATAGCGCATATTTTAAATCAACATCAATACAAGTTTGTGACACATCTATGATGAATGCTGCCTATTTTCAGAAGTGATTTCGCTCCTTGTTCTCTCAAAAAAAGTGTAATTCCAAGATCTGCACAAAGTGAGGTGCAGCGACACTCGGCTCATTAGGAATCTGCACATTATGAAAGCCACATAAATATAAACAAAGAACTCCCTGATGTCTGGAAATCAAGAAGCGCTGATATTGTGGACAGGATAATGGACAAATACACCATAAGGTGTTCCTATAAAACGAGATGGCGAAACAAGGAAGTCATGAATTCAAAAATGTGACAAATGTGACAAACATGTGTGGCATTAATGAGATTTATAAAAGTGACAGTGAAACAAAATGTAAAACTTATTTTATGACTGATGTGATGTCAATGTCATAATAAGTAGATTAGCCTAATTAATCATTGAGTATATCTTCACATGATCTCCATTTTTGCAACAACAAAAAAGTAAATATATTGGCAAGATTTTATGACCACATCACAGAGAGTCTGTAATGTTAGACACGATGATGAAGAGCCCAATGAGTTTATATATAAATATATATTTTTTTAATACTGGTAAAGTGAGGAGGGAGAGGCTGTTTTCAGATTCAGAGATCCTTTATTCGTCCCCCAAATTTCAGTTTCTAATGTTTACATTAGAGGTTGAAATTCTTGGTTGAAGCATTAGTCTGCTCTGCAAAGACATGGTGACCTGTATGATTCCAGCACATTGTGAAAACCTTCCTCCTTTGTGTTGACATGAGTTGAATGTTGTATTTGAAGTGGTTTGAAGCCAAGTGTGAAACAGCTGGAATAAAAATCTGCACTTCCAAATTCGAGGCGATGGTGCTCAACCGTAAAAAGGTGCCTTGCCCTCTCCTGGCGGGTGCAGAGGTCCTAACTCAAGTGGAGGAGTTCAAGTATCTCGGGTCTTGTTCAGGAGTGAGGGACGGATGGAGCGTGAGATTGACAGATGGATCGGTGCAGCGTGTGCAGTGATGCGCTCGCTGGATCAGACCGTTGTGGAGAAGAGGGAGCTGAGCCGAAAGGCAGAGCTCTCTATTTACTGGAGAGAGTAGGAGAAAGCTGGAAGTCCTCCATGTAGTTCAGGGTCTGTCTCAGAGATCGTTTATAAAAGGCCTCCTTCTGACCTCTTTCAAACTACAAAGCCTCACTCAAGTGCCCTCATTGTCAAAAGTGTACCTCCAGCTGTAGATGGGTTTAGGATTTTGACACATACCAGTATATCATTTATATCTAAGAGTACATGAGGGTATTACAGGGAGTACTTTAAATGATTTCCCAAACTTTCAAGCATGGCTACATAAATATGGGCTTCTTTGGCATGTTGTACATCATTTTAAAGCTAATTTTATCCAGAAACAGCCATGTGAACTCAAGACAGCAGGTATTAACTTTGCTCAGAATAACAAACAAAAAAAACCTACATAATGTAAACAAATAATAATTAAAGATTGGAATTAGAGGAGTTAAAAAAAAAACTGCAACAAATAAAAACAATGGAGATATTGAGAGTCCGTAAAGCCTAAATACTGACCCATTATGTTTCATGACTGGGGTACATGAAATATATTTACCCCTGTGTCCCAGTCAGGGCTCTCGTTCCCTGACTGGTACACATGCAGAAGCGATTTGGAACCACCGATCTATAAGGTGGTAAATGTATAATACATGAATAAATATAGTGTGACTGGACCTTGCTGTAACATTATTCACACTGAGTTTGGAGAGAAGTTGTTGAGGAAACACTTGAAGCTAAAGGGTGATGTGGGCATCAGGGTCTAAGCTGCTTTAGGTCCACACTATTGATCAGTCTAGACGCTGCGGATGTGATTCCCAGACTAAAGCACGTTGTTGAAGACATTATGTGGGTGAATTCAAGGAGAACTTGTCTGCTGTGTCTCAGGGAGGCTTCAGAATTAATTCTATTGAACAAAGCTTTGTGGAGCATGTTATTGCATTACAACTAAGGGTAATTATTATGCTAAATATGGCAAAATAATATGGTCATATTATATAACATTAATGATGAGCATAATTTATTCCAGTCTATTCAAAGTAGGCCAGAAAAAAATGATGTATTGATTCTTATAGATGTCCTCATTCAATTATTTCCTTCAAATGTAAAAATAAAACGTTAAATTTGCAATGTTCCGTTAGATTGAGAGAGAGATTATAGAGATTATATTTGTCATTTCAGAACGCTATAGCGAAGAACATTGACTTAGATTTCTGGAGTTTTTGGTTGTGACGTTAGGGAATATAAACATAGAATACATTTGATCAGATTGATACAATTAGAACTTAAAATCGAGAGAGACATCTATAATGTGGCATTTTTTTGAGTATCATCAGCTGTGATTGGCTTTAATCATACTAATACATTTGGTTTGTTTTTAATTGCCTTTTTAGAGGAAAAATAAATAAATAATCAAAAAATATATCAAGAAATTGAATTGCTACATTTTGGGCATAATGTACATGACATTATCTTAGATAGTCCAATCTATTAAACAGTAGAGATGATCATGCTCTGTCAGCACTGCCCTCTAAACAGAGACAACACTTTGTTCCTGAGGAGTTGACCAGCGATAAACAGGTTTGGTGCATTTCTCAGACGTGAAAAACTATGACTGGTACAACCTTAAGATGAAACACACTCACGCCCAGACATTTTTCAACTGCAGCTTAAACAGATCTCTCATATTTGTATTTTCTTTTTACAGATAAACAGAGATGGCACCTGTGTTAACCAAGATGCTAGGATTTGAAACTCAATAACAACAAGGCATGGGCTCAATATTCAATACTTCAAATAGTCTTATACCTGCTACCTATGTTACGTATATATAATCTGCATTAGACAGACTAAACAACAGCAATGGATTGGAATTTATTTGAAAGAAAAATAGAGAAACACCAAACAATTGAAAACACCTGAAATTGCAAAAACATTTACATTTCTACGTGATATAAAAATATTTACTGCTGATATAAGAAGAGGATGTGTTTGTCCAAGTGAAGTAGTGACGCTTCACAGCTGTGGTCATTAATATGCTAGTGTTTGCACAACTCAAAAAGTGACTAAATCGGGACACGTTACAGTTTCCTTTGGGAAATGTCTGTCTTCCAAAACTGGTATTCATTTTTAGGTTAAGTTTTTAATGTTGTGCATTTTGTGTCTTTAAAATTGATTCAACACAAAGTAATAATAAGAAATGTTTTACTATTGTTAGAATTAGCTATGGTTGTTTGTCAATGAGTTTTACTGTATGAGCTCCTAAATGTTCTACCGTGAGAAAAGCAGATTATGGTCAATGATGCAGTAATTATATCTTTTCCAACCTGCTCTGCTATAAATGCTTACTTCAACCCCGCACAAGCTGTTTTAAGTTGTGCATTCAGCATGTACAGCCCAGGTGGCGGCGCTTACACCTCCATGCACCGTGTCTATACATCACATGTGGGAGAGTGACCCCGACTGCTCCTGACGACGGCCAGAGACAAACAAAGCCTCCATCTGACTGGGACGTCTCACTCCCTCACACTACTCTCCCTACTTAAAACCCTGCTCTTCATCCTCCGACAGACCAGGGCTGCACTGGCTCCAGAGAAGCCAAGGAGTGACTGTGTTTGTAAAAGCAGTAAAGAGGAGCTCAGTCTCTAATCAACCTGAATGAATGTAGACAAGACTTTAAAAAGCAATGAAAAGACAGGTTTCATCATCACTGAATGCAGTTATGACAGAGAGATGTTGACCTCTAAGTATACTTTGTCTGCCACAAAGTAACAAGTGAACTTCGCTTACACAATCCTCAAGTCATCTATCCAAAATCTCACAATCTTGGTCAAATCTAAACAACTTGAAACGCAAATAAGGAAACTTCACTATGAATTCGACTCTTAGGGCCTTGTTTATCAAGCATTTTCTCATGTGAAAAAAAGTGAGCAAGAGCAACTGATTTATCACACACATGTCTAACAGTTTAAGTGCATAAACACCTGACACAGTTTACAATTGACAAACAATAATAGTGCAATATAAAAATCAGTATATAGTATTTAAAATAGTATTTAATACCCACCCCTTAATTTTAATACCCAATCCCACCCCTTTCCATCCTAATATCTTCCGTTCAGAACATACACACAAAACAACAAAACGACAAACAACTGCATCATACCATAACTTACCAAAATAAGATCATGAAAAATATATTGACATTTTTGCAGTAAGTTTTGTATTTATATTTGAACATTTTTATACTAGCATGTGTTTTATGTTGCTGCAAATCTTTTTCTTACTCCACAATAAGAAACACAAAATCTTTTCCTGTTTTTTTTTTCTTTTCTTATTTGACAGATTCTTAAGTTGTTTTGGCCCCTCAACATATAACTTAACTCTCTTTTCTTAAATATTTCTTGCATATTGTTTGGAAACATCTTTTTACTCATCTTATACATGATTTGAGATGTAGAGAATTTTACAATGTCAATAAATTTGACAAGCCTTGACTGAATAAATGAAGGATGTTAATAAATCACTTCAAGGTGATATCTGCAACTTCCATTGTATTTCATTTTTATTGGAACACATGTTTTGACCATATAACCCTTTGGTATGATTATAAGTATTGTTCATAAATGATATAATTAAAACAGTAAATCCCCTTGGCATACCATCACCAGTAAGATTTGCTGGGGGAGAATATTTGGACCAATGGGGAGGGGCCACAGCAGCCTATCAAGGATTTGAATTCATTGCATCCAATCAGGAAGCTGTATGAGCGGGTCTAACTGGAGCTTGTGATATAAAAATGTCTCTCCATCTTATAAATATGAAAAGTAACTGACCCTCACAATAAATAGCACACACCATTTCACTTTACATCAGCAGTTTAGTACTTGGACTGATAAAAGAGGCCCGCATGCATAGTATGGCAATTATATACACTGATCAAAGCCGTATCGAGCCACCTGTTCGTCAAAGATGATCTTGTCAGCTCTGAGAAGCTAGATTCTGTGGCTCTCATGCTAAACTGTTGTTGTGTCTTTAGGCAGGACGCATCACGCACTTGTCATATGAAGCTGATGTGTGAGACAATGATTAACAGTGGTTAGAGGAGCTGATGGCACAGATAAGCAACCATGCTTCCATCTGCTCCAAGGCAGCTGTGGCTACAATAGTAGATTCTCCCAAACATGTATTAATGTTACAATGTAGTGTAATCCAGAATGTTTGTTTAGTATACAATGGGTAAAAAGTCAAATGCCCAAAAGTCAAATAAGTCACATCAGGGCCTGAAGAAAAATAGACTGTTTTAGCCTTTAAAGGACTTGTGTGGAGTAATTAAAAGATCCGAGTGTGGGGGTTAAAGAGACTGCTATACAAGAACAAAAAAGGGTGACTGACAACATAATGTCACCATTGATTAGCTGAAAGGCAGACTGCTTAAGACTCTGTGTATTTGTTTGGTTAAAAAGCCTGAGGTTTTTTTGTTTATCCAACAAGTAAGAACATTATATTCTCCAGTGTTTACTGCACTACTTTAAACACCACTTAAGAACAATATGTTCTTTAACGTGTTTAGTATAATGCAGTTCAGTGTGGGATGAAGAGGTTTCACATGATGACAACTGCTTTGGTTTTTTGTTGGGTTTTATTCCTCATGCATCTTTTCTTCCACTCTCTGCCTTATAGTGCTCAGTGTCATTGGCGCCACAGCAGGGGTCCCTATCTATTGTGGGCTAAAAGCACTTGCCACAGCAAACATCCACTCCCCTCTCAGCTGCTTCTACCCTGGGATGAGCTGAGAATATTGTATCAGTGCAACGGGCTATGACGGAACAAGGGCCAGTGAAGGACAAATGCCAAACAAGACACAAAGAAATGTATGAAATAGCATTATGACGCACATGGCACCAGTCATATGCACGATTAGGATAACTCAAGGATTGTTATTTATGGTTATATATAATTTGTTGGTTCATTTTGGTTCAAATTAAGAATTATAAAAAGGGGACCACTGATTCACCACAAAGGAGTTATGGAGTATGAGTCTCCACAGAATAACAGGCGACCTCATCATGTGTATTTTTGCAATAAAACCACCTCTTAAATAAATGCAAGAATTGTTAGTTTAAAGCAACACTACAGAATTGTATAAACTTCATGCAGACCATCAAGGAGAATTACCATTATATGAACATTTGGATTACAATTTCAGTCCCACGCTTATAGTTGGTGATTTAATAATGACTTCATAACCTCAGTCCAGGAGTTAAGCTGCAGTAAAACAAAAAATAATACATTTTATGGTTTATTTTAATTGAACAATTAGGGGTGCTCATCACTTAACTACATAACATACTGATTTTGTTTTGAGAAGATACACAATACATAAACGACAAATGATGTTTCTTTTTCAATTAGGAAAAACTTTTAGAGATGAATCAAAGGCAATAATCAATAGATTTAATTGATTACTAAATGAATCACTTGCTGTGATGCACAGAAAGAAAACATGGCACATTTCTCACTCAAGGTCAGTCAGGTTTTTTGGCAAATATTGTTACTATTATCATTATCACTTTATTGTTGTTAATATTACTATTATTAGCTATACATTATATCTTTTTCAAAGGACTTAACTTGCCATGGTGCTGCGCTAAAGATATTAACAATTACAGTCAATAAAAACATCCCCCCCAGACAGAAACTTTTTTTTAATGCGAATTGTGAACTTATTTCTTATTGTTTCCCAAATGCAAAGATTAGAGCCTGTAAGGTAGGTTTGAGTAAAACAAATGAAATGACTGTTGAAGACTCTGGTTATGGCTGTATGTCGCAACCCTCTGGCTCCAAACCACCTCCGGGCTTCAACTGAGCAGGTAACAGTGAGCCAGCTTCACTGCCATCCAAAGAGCCCAGAGGGAAGACTGTGCTGGTATCAAAATGCACACTAGGCATTGACAGTGTATTGAGAATGATTTTGAGAGCACTCGCAGATGACATACAACTTGTGAACTATATATGACACATATGTTTCAGGTGAGACAAACACAGGGTCATATAACACTGGACTGTTGGAGTCAGACCAACCTAAATGTAATCAGTAACCAGACGCTTTCACAGCTACTGCAATGGGTTGTTCTTTATAATAGCAATCAACTTACATTGTGACCTGTGCCCAGTGCTTTTTTCTGCTCTCCCACTTCCTCACAACCAACAGGGGTTTCTCACCACATTAAGGAGAGGTTTACAAAGTGGGAAACAAAGCCAGTATTCCAGTATATAATTTCATAAATAATACATAATGTTTGTCCCAACAGAGAGTAAAATGTAGAGTTGTGTAGGACAAATTGGACCACAACATTCTCTTTTTTTAGAAAACATTTGATCTTTTCCTTGTAAGAAAAAGCACTCTCACTATTTGACTCTTTGGACTGAGCTGCGTGAGGGTGGTCCACTCTTTCTCACTTCTACTGTACTGTCTGAAAAACCTAATCTACAGATGTGACAGACAGAGGCCGAACAACCATAAACATTAATCAATAGATGTTTTAGAGCAGGGGTCTCCAGCCTTTTTCAACCGAAGAGCTACTTTCATACAAACGAAGAGGCAGAGAGCTACTCCTTTTTACAGTCATAATAAAAATCTATCTAATAATCAAAACAAAACATGTAGAAGACATATAAAATACACCATAATACTGTATAATAGGGGTGTGACAATAGTTTCTCCCGCGATTCGATTATCGATATGCATTTGCCAAGTATCGATATATATATATTTTTTTTACTAAATTTTTTTTCAATTGGTATCAATACTTAATATATGGCTACATTACGCATCTCCATTCCATTTACCATGAAATAAAGTGTATTTTTTCTTTTATTTATGCCATATATTGGCATATTTTATATTTCTGACCAATATATCGATAATCGTCATATCGTGATAAAATCGTTATCGTGATAATATCGTTATCATGAGCTTTGTATTGTGTATCGTATCGTATCGTGAGGTACCCTTAGGTTCCCATCCCTACTGTATAACCCTATATTTATACTTATAATAGATATGTAATGGCTCAAAAGATATTCACTTAAATGTATTTGTTAAATTCTAATTCCTTTGGCGAGCTACCTGTAAGGGACTGGCGAGCTACAGGTTGGAGACTCCTGTTTTAGAGCCAGGAACTTGTTACATGGAACTTATTTGTACATCAGTTTACATAGTTGTTGTTTGAAACTTATACCCTTAAAGCTGGCAAATCTGAAATATTAGAATGCATTGGTATATACAGGCCTATCATGTCTTTTATCGTTTTATCATGGCATGTGAGACAGCTCAAGCTCACATGACACCGGCAAATAAAGGAAAAACAAACAACCATGTAAGTGCGTTGTCACCTCTGGGCATCTGCACTCATACCTCAACTTTGACGCGTCTTTAAAAAAAACACTTGCTGCTGAGCTGTGTCCAGACAACAATACATTTCAATACGTGATGCAATAAGCGGGCAACATCATCATACACCTGACCACCCCCAACACCAACACCAACACCAACCCCCACCACACTCACCTTGAACTCCACTGACAGCTGTGGTGTGTACTCTAGCGTCCAGAGTGCGCGTACCAGGGAGGCCAGCTGCTCCGTCACCTCTCCCCTCGCGTCCCGTGCGCTCCTCCAGTGTTCCTTCAGCGCGCCCCCGTCTCCATCCTCCCTCCCGAGGTCGGTCTTGTACTGCTCCAAGCCCAGGTACTCCGCCAGCAGGTCGGTGTTGCTCATGCACTGGACCACCGCGTTCATGAAGCAGGTGTTGCCGTGGTTCTTCAGCCCCTGGACGCCCGGGGTCTTGTCTCCATAGCACAGGGACAGGCGCTCTTTGACTGAGCCCTGAGAGGCAGACGAGACGCTTTTCTTCAGCGCGCTGCTACTACTACTGCCGCTGTTGTTATTACACTCCCTGGAAGAAGATGAAGTAGTGTGCGAGTCCTTAAATCCCCCTGTGTCGCTTTGTCCAAACCCACCATCGTCTTCCTCGGCTTCCCGCGTCCCAGCGTGGTCACCAAAGTGCGCTAAAGTGCCCAAAGTTTTAAGGATCCTTCCCATGAAATTACCCAGCGAGCGCAGGGATTTCCTTCGTATAAAAATCCCAGTTTTTTGCTTCTGCTCCTTGCGCTTGTTGGGCTTCATGGGCTGTTTTCTCCCTTTGTTTTCTTTCCGCGTACTATCCATGGTTGTGCGTTGGTTTTTTTTTATTATTTCGGATTTCGCGAGAGCCAGTGGAGTTGCACCTGTTCGCCAGACTGTCTAGCCCGCCTCCTCGTTCCTATTCCCCTCAGCTTTCCCCTCCATAACCCTGCCTATACCTTCAGCAGACTCAGTAGAAGGCACATTATTCTTTACTCCGTGTGGAATATTCTGCGCACCGTCTGGCTTTGGCTCTGCGCTGTCCCTTTCCTTTACCCTTCCCTTTGCCTCGTTCAGATGCTGTAGCAGTCCAGGGCACTTCCTCATAGCTGGAATAACGCGCAGAATGTGTGTGGTTGAATATCTGCCTCCCCGCGCTGCTCTCTATCCCCTCCCTCCTCCCCTCTGCGCTCCTGGTATTGTGTGGCTCGTACACATACAGTCTGACCGCTGCACCCTCCTGATATAAATGATCAACCACAGTGGCATGCACGAGAGAATCTACAAGGAAAAACTTTATAACTTGTATTGGAATGTCAATCTCTTTTGCTGACCTCAAAAATTCCAGTTAATAAGGCACACGGAATGAAGGCTTACCTGAAGTTGGTGAATGTGGCCCGCATGTGTATGGAACTGCCCCCTGTAGGACCAATTAAGCAATCACAGTGCTCATCGTGTATATTTTTATTTCTATAACGCAGTCCTTACAGCGTCATACATCATAACTAAAGAGCCCGCAAAGCCTTTATTAAAAGTTTCCTAGAACAAAACAGTTAAAATTCTGAAGTGAAGGAAAATGGAGCGAACTGGGATCTAATGCATTTTTAATGGAGAAACTTATATAAACCACATACGATCCCAAAATAAGACAAAGGAATAGACTATGGTTGTGGGAGATAAAAAAACAAAAAACAAAAAACACTCAGGTGCGTGTCAGTGAGTTCATTTTTGATGGAGGAGTGTTTTCTTTCCTTGTTTCTGTGACACATCCAACACTGACATTTACAAAAGTTCTTGATGACAAACAGGGTTACTTTTTGTAACTGTGAGATCTGATCTAAAATCCTTGTTGAAAATGTATTATGAATGACACCTTCAATCTGAGGGCTGCAATTACCAATTCATTTAATCATCTAGGTGTTTATAAAGAGGTTTTTTTTTAATTATTTCATTCATTGATTTTGTTTATGTGGGACCAATGATGCATGTGTAAGGATAACCCTGTATTAACACAAACAAAATATAAACAACCTTTTTTTGTACACAATTTTAAATGTATAATTAAAGTACAAAACTAGGTGACCCATGCAGGCAGGGAGCGGCAACTTGGGGGGCTCAGGAGGTCTCAATGTGATTATATTTAGACTGCAAAAGTTCAGGTAGAAATGTAGTTATTTTTATCTGACTCGAAAAAACCTACAGTGCGGCCACGAGAACATCTACAGAGTTATAACAAAACACTATTCATTATATTGTATGATGCATGATGTACCAATGAAACTGAACTGAAAGTGAAATTACTATCCCCAGTGAATCCTCTCTAGGGGCCCATCCTCCAAACAAATAACGAAATTGAAGATAAAGATCTGATTAATTTGTGATAAAATTATTGATAACAAAAACTGTGGCCAAACTGTTTGTTGTGAGTCTCTTTGTAGCGATTGCTGCCTTAAAAAGAAAGCATTAAGAGATTTAGCCCCTTTTGGTTTATACGCAGTCTATAATCACCTCCAGTTTAATTTCACAGCTCAGCAGTATTGAAAATGGAATTTCGTGGACCAGATGGGCTGATTTATTAAAATAGATAGCGAGGGCTTTTACGTTCACTTATTCTTATATTTGTGTCCTTTCATAAACGTAAATAAAAAGAAAGATCTGCCACTGGCACAAATTAAAAATCAATAGACGAAACAAACACACATGTTTCAGTACATAGTACTATATATATACATACATATATATGCATACATATACATATATAATTTTAAAAAATGTATTTACCATAAGTAAGTTGCGGAAACCAATTCAATAATGTAATAACCGTTTTCAGCCATAAACAACGACCTCAAAACTTGCATGAAAAAGAATAGAAGGAAAAACTTATTTAGGTTTTACATTTTTTTATTGACCTTTAAGCACACAATTTAGTGGTTTAGGAAAGAAACCGGAGCGTTCGGAGAAAACTTATGCTGACATGGGGAGAACATGCAAATACCGCATTCATACCCTCGTGCTGCATATGGAGTCCAGCATATCACAAGACCATCAGCAGACACAGAGTATTGCAGAAATGACAACAGATTATTGAAGGAGGTTGATTTGTTTGTATGACTTCAAAAGGTGTATGGTAAAAAAAGAATTCATCATTACTTGTATTGTCGTAAATATATGGTTTTGGTGTATTAATAATTGAATATAGAGATTTGAAGAATGAAGAACATAAACAAATCTTTAACCTCTTGAACGAGAACACTATAGATGTGTGAGATATTAGATTCATAATTGGCTTACCATTCATTACCTTAAGTGTGACAGCTCTGCCTCTTCTAAGGCCTAAACTTTCAGAAATCATTCCACTTAAGCAATAATCAATTTGTATACAGTATTTTGAAACATTTAGCCGTTATATCACACTGTCTACAAACCCAACCCGGCTCACGCCTCTTCTCCATCACTCCCTCTCTCCCTTACTGTCTTTGTCTCATCTCATTTCAGCATCTTATTACAGACTCCCACCTGTGTGAGTTGTCTAAGCCCATCTGTGCATGAGTGTGTGTGTTATGTGTGTGTATGAGTGTGTGCGTGTAAACCTGGCCTATAGCCACAACACAGCCACCCACAAACATAATTACATGGGTCTACACCGACTGCTCCTGCGCTCCAAGACTATACTCACCTTAAAACTCCAAAGTAAAAGTCAGCCTTGCTTTTGGAGGTTGAGATGAAGCCACGCGATGATATCTTCTCCAGACAACCTCTCCCTGACCCCAATGCCATTTTTCTTTGTAGCACTTTCTCTGTCGCCAGTACCCAAAGCGAGGGACTCCACAAAGACATTCTGTGAGGGGAGAAACAGGGAAGAGTTAGTGGAGTGCTTGTATCCTTCCCTGTGGACAGAGTGAGCTGTGTGCTGGACTGGCAGATGGTGGTTCTGGCTGGCACTGGCTGGCACGGGGCGGCATGGCTACATCCGCAGGAAAGCATCATTTTTCTTCCCACTCTGCCCCCTCCCTCTTGCTGCCTCCCATAATTCAGAGCAGTCATAACCACAGACTGTTTGTCTTCGCTTCTCAGGGTGAATCACTTTGGGCGTCCTAAAGAGCAGCTTGAAAGTCAGCTATAATGTAATAAATGTAAAATAAAATAATAACTTTTTTGTTTTTTGCTGTTGACTGAAAAAGGGTGAATTGCTCAAAAGATGACGGCCATTTTTTTTGTTCATGACCATTTTCTAAAAGATAGGGAATATTTTATGTAATGCACAAAAAACAGTATCTGTAGGAATTTATTCACAAACTGAACAAATGAAATGACAAAAAGAAAATATAAAGCTACCAGCCAAAATAAGACACAAAACTCAACAAGATCATCCAGTCATAGCCCACATGTATACATCTTAAGATAAGGGAGAATTAAATAATTGGCAAAAATGTATTCTTAAAAAAATTAAATGACATCCACCTGTGTTTCCTCTTTGATGCCGGGTGATTTTCCATCCACATTTGCTCCAGCTCACCTGGGGGTTCTCTCCCAGGCCAGCCCTCTCCAGAGTGTGCTGAAGCAACCGAACCAAAGGCCAGAGTCCTCTTATCTGCCTCTCCTCAATGTGGAGCAACAGTTCTACTCTCCACATGGAGAAGGCAAGGCACTTTTTTCCACCCGAGCACCATGACCTCGGATTTGGAGGTGCTGATCCTCATCCCACCAGCTTCATACTTAGAGGGTGGCAGTCGGAGCTGCACCCAGTACACAGAGCACCAGCCCCTCACTGATCCTCCTGCAGGTGGTGAGTCCACAGGAGCCTTGATCTTTCAGCGGGGGCTTCAGGCAAAGTGGGGTTAAGTGTCTTGCCCAAGGACACAACAACAGCAGACATCAGTGGAAGTTGTGAAGTAGGTCTTGTTGTGGGCTCAAACAGACAACCTTCAGGCCAATGCTCTACCAACTGAGCCACTGTCGCCCCTTATTACTTTTGTGTAAATATACTATTAAAGTGTAACGCAGATACAAAACCATTTGATTGGTTGCAGTATTTCTACATCAGTATGACCAAAGTGTGAATGTAATTAGTTGTAGGGAACTAGAAACCAACTGGGTTGTTTTGTTACATGTCGCTGAAAAGATTTCTGGTTGAGTTTAGTTTAATTCACCCTGTCCTTGGTGAAGTCCTGTTAACCGACATGGATCTGACTGTAGGACCAGGGTTAGGTCTGGGATAGACCTGGCTCAGATCACAGGAATAGGGTTAGGTCTGTCTGGGATAGACCTGGTTCTGACCATATTAGACCAAAACTGTCAATTTAGAGGATCAAGCAGGCCAAAGATGAATCAAAGCATTTCCAAACCTGTTCCAATGTTTGTCCTTATTTGACAACTCTGAGGCGTGAATGGAATGGCCACAACCTGAAATATTCTGAATGTTTTTGTTTACAAAGGGCTTTAGGTGGTTAAAACAAAAAATTGATCAGTCACCTGGAGATGTAGTTACATAGTATACGTTTAATGATTCAGTTTTGAGATTCTACGTCTAAAAACACATATGTATTGGCGACACAAAGAGTGGTTAGAGACATTTGTACCATAACAGTACTTAACATGCAGAAATGTGTTTTTTTCAATACATCTCTTATCTTGCTCAGGCGCAACAGAGCTATGGAGCAATTACACAATATAAAGTATATAGTGGCGTAAAACAGATGGGAGAGTTTTTCTTTGCTTTTACTGAAAACATCTTTACAACACTTCATCTCTTATCACAGGGGTTCACAAACTGTTCAGGACCCTTGGAATAGGCACAAAACTGACCCACAACCTGCACCGATGTA